ACACAACGTGCACCAATAGTTACAATCCAGTACAGAACCTGCAACAAATACAGTCGCATACGCAACTTACACCAATACGTACATTCATGTACAAAATACATAATGCCCAAATATACAGGTACACCAATGTATAGAAAGTGCATAACATAACTCGTGTGCATAACAGCTAACCTGGCCACACTCCATGTACATGTGTAAACACAACGTGCAAAATTAAAATACAATCGAGTACACAATTATCACACGCACTTGTACAGCTACGTAAAGATCCATACAACTTTATTTGGGATAGTTGTATACATAACTAAATACAGTCGCGTACAACATTAATACGAATTTGTGTGTTCTTAAATTAAATCTAATCTTAAATTAAAATATTCATATATTTTACAGCTTAGAATAGAAGCATACGACTTAGGTATGCCGACTCCGTTAAGTTCTGATTTGGACCTCACCATATACGTACAGAATGTGGACAACTACCGACCTCGCTTCCCTGATAAAGATATTTCCATTAACATTACTGAAAATGTATCAGATTATGAAATTAATTTACCAAATGTAGTGGAAAGAGACCCTATAGATAGAGGAGATGAGCCTATTCTGCCCGTTTGTTATTATATTGTGGAAGGAAATGAAGACGCCATGTTTGATTTGGATAGAAGCACACACAGGTAACGTAAAATGATTTAAGTGAATTCCAATTTCTTTGATCTGTACATTCTTTTAAAGAATTAGAAATTATAAATGCGAAAGTTTAGATGGATGGTTGGATGGATGGATATTTGTAAGATTTTGTAGCCTAAACTGATAAACGGATATCAATGAAATTTGGCCTAGATGTTCTTTGTATATTTTTTTACTCTAAGCAGACGGAGTCGCGGGCGACAACTAGTGTAAAATAATTTAATACTTAAGTCCAATTTCTTTGATATGTACATTCTTTTAAAGAAAAAAGTTTCTACAAGAAACACAATTTAAATATAAACATATCTCCTAAAAAATAATTTTTTTTTTTTTAATAGATTGAATAAAATATTTGTAATTTCTTATTAGGTTATCGTCAATAGTATTAGATCGTGAGCAGAAATCGAACTACACGTTGACGGTGTTGGCGAGCGAGGACTGCGTCAACACGCCCACGTATCGCGCGTCAGAAGACGCCGTCAGTTCTCTGACAGTTTACGTCACAGTGTCAGATGTCAATGACAACGCACCGAAGTTCGTCAGTCAGATATTTACTGGAGGGATTACTACGGAAGCCGATTTTGGAATCGAATTCATGCACGTTAAGGTAATATATTTATTTTTATCTAGGTAATATTGCAAATAGAAAAGATTTGGATTTTTTGTATATAACGAATGAGGTTAAAATCTGTTAGTGTGATTTAAAATCGAAATTTTTGCTTAATTAGATAGCTATCACTGAGTAATGCTGTAATACTAAGTGTTGCGCCGTTCTTTGTCCGCGCGGAAATAAAAATAATAATAACTATTCTTAATAATATATTAACATATTACTTAGAGATAACGTAGCTTTTTAATAGTGAAAGAATTTATATATTCGGGCCAGGGGTTTTTGAGTTATTTTAAAAGACAAAAAAAAAACAATTTTTTCTTTTTTATAAAATTAGTGTAAATTTTTATGAAAATGAATAAAAAACACATTAATGGTAAGAAAAACTGTTTTATTTTGCAAAATAATTAATTAAAATATTTAATTTATTTACAGGCTATAGATATAGATGAAGGTGACAACGCGAAAATAAGTTACTATTTGATCGGAGAAGTGAAGGAGACATTAACAGAGGGTTTAGAAAACTTGGCGGTGTCTCCCTTCCTCGTGCACCGCGACACTGGCGCTGTCTCACTCAACTTCGACCCGCAGAAAGGGATGAAGGGATACTTTGATTTTAAGGTTGGTACGGTTAAATGTATACAAAGAATTGTTTTATACCTAAATATTTCATTTAATACTGCAAATATTAATAAAATACCTCTGTGTTATTGAAAGTATACAGAATAAGATTTTAAAGTAATAATTATGTCTGAAAAATAATAATACATTATTAATAGACTTTCGGTCGAATACTGAAACGAATCTTAACCTTGCTTCGTTTTTTACATCGAATTTTGGGTTTAGTCGCTGTCATCAATTAAGACAATATACATATTTAAATGTCGTTTCAGTATTCGGCCGTATTCCGTAAATCTTATATTTATTTCCAAATAACTTTTAGTCGCGATTACATACACGCGGAATTAAAAAAAAGAAACTTAGTGACACTTTTCATCACTTCTATCATATATCCATGTATTGATCTACACTTTCGCATTTATAATGTTAACTTACTTTAGCCCGTGACTCCTTTCGCGTGGAATTAAACAAAAGAAAGTAGCATATCTCTTCTTCCAGACTATCCTCTGCATCTATGTCAAATTACATAGAGATCTGTTTAGCAGTTTGGGCTGCAAACTCTAAACTTTCATATTTATTAGTTACCTAAATATGTATTTTCAGGTATTAGCAAACGATACTGATGGTTACCATGACGAGTCTCATGTGTTCATATATCTGTTACGAGAAGACCAGCGCGTGCGGTTCGTGCTCCGCGCGCACCCGGCAGAGATACGAGACAAGATACAAATGTTCAGAGAAACGTTAGCACATGTGACACAATCCGTGGTCAATATCGATGATTTGAGGGTCCATGAGAACAAAGACGGCTCAGTAGACCACACGAAGACAGACTTATACCTACATTTAGTGAATAAAGAGGACCACTCGGTGCTCGAAGTGGACCAAGTTTTGAAACTCGTGGATAATAATATCGAGCAGTTGGACAGTCTTTTTAAGGTATGGATATTTTGTGTTTTTAGAATTATTGTTGTTGTACGAGTTTAAATTTTTTGTATACACGAATATATAAATTGTAAAATGTTCGTTGACCTTATTAAGTTACTTTGCATTGCAAAACGTATTGTCTGTACACTCACCATTTTTTCTTAGTGTCCAAAATTGTTTTGATTAAAACACAATTTAGAAATTGAAGGATAAGTTTTATTTTTATCAGATTATTAGGAGGTTAAATTTTTAACAAGTCACTGTAGTTTAATCGATTTCTCAAAGAATGAGATAAACTCGATATGTAAAGGTTGTCGCGCATTCGTTACAAATTATTTTACCTTTTTTATCGTGTTAAACCAACGACGTCGATATGGTAGTCATGTGGCGTTTGTATGCCTCAGTGATCATAAGAGGTGTTGACTTCATCTACTCTGACGAATGTGCGATAACCTTAAGAATAGGCGTCCTACACTCTGATATTTTTAATGCAATTTTTTCGTTTATGGTATTTAATATTGTTACTAATATAAAGTATACATTGCATAATGTGTGGGTAACTGTTGTGTTGTGTGTAGGAGTTTAACGTGTTG